TATCACAGTAGCCAGAGGATTTTTATTTTTAAAATATCACCTCTGTTGTAAAACTCATCAATGGCTTACCATGGCACTTGGGATAAAATACATCTCCAACTTCACCTCTCCTACTCCGTACTCTCCAAGCCCAAGAAACACCCAACCTCCTTCTTGCTGAAGGCCTTTGCACCATCTGTGTTCACCTCCTGGCTACTTCTCAACACTCAGGCTTCAGCTACAATGTTAGCTCATTAAAGAGTCTTACCCTTCCACCTCTGAAGTACTCCATTTGTTCATAACACTCACTGTCATATCACCCTGTTTTATCTCCCTCACAGTACTTCTGCCCGAAATAACCTTGTTCGTTTCTTATTTATTTCACAATTTTCCTCTACTAGAAGAGAAACATCAAGAGAGAAAGGATGTTGTATGCCTGTTCATTCTTACATTTCTAGCCCCTAGAATAGTACCTGGAATGTTAGGAGCACACTGTATTTGTTGAATGAATGAATGAATGAATGAATGAATAGAAAGAAAAAGAGGTTCAAATTTGTTTAACTCTATTCCATTAGAGTATAATGGAAAGACTGGAATCTATACCTTGCCCTAAATCCTGGGATGGGAAAACTCTTGGGAGAATACATACAACAGACAGATGACAGTACCAAGGTGAGAGTAGTTGGTATCCAAGAGAAAGGCCTAGCATGCAATTTCATAAAGCATAAAACTATCAGAAGCCCAGGTTGAAAACTCCTGCCTGCTCTAAGGAATTAAGACTGTTCAACCCCACTCTCCCATCCACAAGAAAGGGCATTTTGGTGGGGATCAAGAACAGGAAGAAGTAGCTTGCTAGAAAAATTGATTATCATATTCCTTTGTTTATATAGTAAAGAATTTTGGAGAATTTAAGTATAAAAATTTTAAAGAGTCTGAGTTCTAGTGACTTGTAAATATTAACATTTATTGTAAACTAGAGGTCCGATACACAAAATTTGTGCATGCGTAGGGTCCCAAGGCCTGGCCAGCGGTCAGGGCTGATCTGTGGGGCAACTGGCGGGGTGATCAGGTCGGGGGGCTTCTGCTGATACCTACCGTGGCCGGCCTGGCACTGCCTGCTTGCCGGCCCAGCCCTGCTCACCGGCCAGCCCCGCCCCCTGATCACCCCACAACCTCCACCAGTCACCTCCCTCTGCAGAACGACTGGAGGGTGATCTGGGGGCCCCCCACTGGCACCCGCCTTGGCTAGCCTGGGGCCTGCGAGCTGGGGACAGCTCCAACATTGAGCATCTGCCCCCTGTTGGTCAGTGTGCATCATAGTGACTGGTTGTTCTGCCATTCAGTTGATTTGCATATTAGGCTTTTATTATATAGGATATTTTTATACTTGAGGATCTTTTATTGAGTACATGAAAAGATGCTCAACATCATTAGCCATCAAGGAAATGCAAATCAAAACCACAATGATGTAACATTTCAGAACTTCTAGGATGGCCATAATAAAAAAGGCAGATAATAACAAATGTTGGCACAATTATGGAAAAGTTAGAACCCCTCATACACTGCTAGTGAGAATGTAAAATGGTGCAGCCTCCTAAAAAACAGTCTAGCATTTCCTCAAATGTTTAAACAATTACCATATGATCCAGTAATTCAACTTCTAGTCATATATATCCAAGTGAAAGGAAAATTTAGGTCTACACAAAAACTTGTACAAGAATGTTCATAGCAGTATTATTCATAATAGCCAAAATATGGAAATGATTCAAATGTCCAGCAACTGATAAATGGATCGAATATTGTACAGTAGTCCCTCTTTGTCCATGGTTTTGCTTTTTGAGGTTTGTGTTACCTTAGGTCAGTGGTCGGCAAACTGCGGCTCGCGAGCCACATTCAGCTCTTTGGCCCCTTGAGTGTGGCTCTTCCTAAGCCTTAGGAGTACCCTAATTAAGTTAATAACAATGTACCTACCTATATAGTTTAAGTTTAAAAATTTGGCTCTCAAAAGAAACGTGTGCGCCTGCACATGGTCTTTTGTGGAAGAGCCACACTCAAGGGGCCAAAGAGCCGCATGTGGCTCGCTAGCCGCAGTTTGCCGACCACTGCCCTAGGTCAACTGGTGTCTGAAAATTTGAAATGAAAAATTTCAGAGATAAACAATTCATGAGTTTTAAATTGTGCACCATTCTGAGTAGGATGATGGAATCTCATACCATCCTGCCCTGTCCAACCCAGGCCATGATTTATTCCTTTGTCCAGTGTATCCATGCTTGTACATTCCCTACCCAGGCACAAGAGTAGTAGTGCTATGATATGCCAAAGAGAAGTCATAAAGTGTTTCTATAATGTGAAAAGGGAAGTACTGTACAATAAGATATTCTGTGAGAGAGACCACATTCACATAACTTTTATTACAGTATATTATTATACTTGTTCTACTTTATTATTAGCTATTGTTGTTAATCTCTTACTGCACCTAATTTACAAATTAAACTTTATTATAGATTTGCATGTA